ATGACTATAACAATGGAAATGACAATGACAATGATAGTGACAATGCTCAAAGACAATGACAGTGGCAATGACAATGACAGCGACAATTCTCAATGAAAATGACAATGACAAAGACGGTGACAATTCTCAATGAAAATGACAATGACAAAGACGGTGACAATGACAGTGGCAATGACAATGACAGCGACAATTCTCAATGAAAATGACAATGACAAAGACGGTGACAATGACAGTGGCAATGACAATGACAGGGACAATGCTCAACGACTATGACAATGACAATGAGAATGGTAAGGACAATGACTTATAGAGATAATGACAATGATAGGGACAATGCTTAAAGACAATGATGATAATAGAGACCATGACAATGACAATGGTCAATGACAATATTTTATAACAATGACAATGGTAATGAAAGGGACAATGACAATGACAAAGATAAGAACAATACTAAATGATAATGACAATGACAATAATAATGACAATTAAAAATGACAATAACAATAAAAATGACATACAATGAGAATCTTTATTCATCTCTCAGGGAAAAAATTGTCTTTGTCGTTTACAATGGCAGAGGTATTTCAAAGGTCAGGCGCATTCACCGTTGTATAGAGGGAAATTTATTAGTCTCTTGTTTGTTTGTTTGTTTGTTTATTTGTTTGTTTGTTTGTCTCTACGTAAAGAATTTGCTTTCTGGGCATAAAACAATAGAACTTGCCAACCGGTTTGTGGTTATGGTTTCCTTGTTTCTATGGACGCCCTTTGTCCCAGTAACAGTTCACAAAAAAAGTATGGTGAAATGGTATAGGTTTAATACCCCTATCAACACTATTAGGTTATGGTTATTTAAGAGGCGAGACCTCCGAGTTTAACGTCCATCTCTGAAAGGACCGAGCCAAGTGACACTACGTCGGACCGAGCTGAGGCTCGAACCCCCAACCCACAATCTCATGATTACGAGTCCGGTAGCCTAACCACTAGACTATCGACACCACTGACAGTTCACAGATGGGTTATTTTTTTACAATTTCTTTAACAGTTACAGAAAAATAGGACAACTTTCGGGTCACAGGCAGTCTACGAATGTATGCCTTCGTACTACGGCTTCCCTCTGAACAAGAACGTCTCATTTTGTAACGAGTCCGGACAATGGACACCAGTTGAGCTCTCTTGCCACTCTTGCCACTTGGATGAACGGCTCGACGGTGATGGAATGCTGAAAGACATCCGAAGCATGAACTTGATACCTGGCTTGAGCACTATTGGCGCCGACTTCGAGTGTGGCCCGTCCTTTGAGCTGGTGTCCCCCGGCATGCCCACCTATGCGGAGTGTGTACTGGACGCCACAGGAAGTTCCAACTGGACGGGGCTTGAGCAAACAGAGTGTGCGCAAGTTCGGTGGAATAACCCGGTAAGTGATAGCAAAGATCGTACCTTAAAAGGATAGTTCACTCCTCACTTTGAGCAAATTAAAAAGTGTCCTCAAAATTCAATGGCGCCCTCTTCGAAAAAGCGCGGACTTTGCGAACAGAGTTTCCCTGGTCGAGGAAAAAACAATAAAAGCGAAACTAACAAGCTGTGCTCTTCCTAGTTTTTTATTCTTCTTCTGGAGAAACAAAAGAGAGCTTCAAAACAAAGACTGCATCGCCATCTGAAGCAATGCGCACTTCCGCGGACACTTTTTTGGCCGATTGAACTATCTTGTTATGAACGATCTTTGGTTATAGGGCTGTGATTGTCCGGTTAATTTGATACCCGGGTAATGAAAATAAAATACCCGAGTACTCTTCAGGTACGACATTTCAATTATCAATGTTCTTTTTCTTTTTCTTTTTCTTTTTTTTTTTTCTTTTTTTTTTTGGGGGGGGCGATTTAGAACCGCACGCTAGTTGCTTCCATATAAGGACATTGAAATTGAAACTACATGTATATTATATTATAGGCCTAGCCCTACTAAAGTATCCGATCGGTTCTTGGAAATTTTCTTAAAACATGCCCAAATATGGCCTAAACATGCCCAAATATGGCCTAAACATGCCCAAATATGACCTCTTTGTGATCTGCTGGTTTCCAGGGAAAGGAGGTACGAGTAGTGGTGGGCACTAGTCGATATTGGCCAGTATCGAGTACTGTATTGACTGTATCAATAAGGGCTCAGTATCTCTTAACGTTCGAACGAAGGGATGTAATTTAGGTGCATTTGCATAGCACTAACGAAGGGGAGTAGAATACCCGGATACCCGACACCAATACCAGGATAGCCGGTTTGGAGCTCTTTACCCGGGTACTTGCCCTGCCCTAATAAGTGGTGCGTGATACTTCAGGCAAGCTGCAGATCCCGCTAATGCAGAAGAATTCGAGCTCATACGGTAAATTCTCAAGAACAATCTTTCCAAAAATGGCTACCTCAGAATTACAACGTTTTATCTGGCATTTATTGGGGGGCCGTTTTGAGGTACACACACACACACACACACACACACACACACACACACACACACACACACA